AGTATTCTCATTCTCGGCCTCTGGCTGCCCTCGCGTAGCTCCGGATCCATTATCGCGTTCGCAGCACTGTATGGCTTGGTCTCTGGTGAGTTTTCCCTCGCTCCGTTTGAGTCTTTCCAGGCACCTAAAATGGGCATACAGGAGCGTTCGTCTCCCTGTTACCGACGTACATCGCTACCATCTCGCCTAGAGAAGTTTACGGGGCACGTCTGGGTAAGTAACACGTTCATCTGCATGCGAATCCAAAAGCTCTCACTAACGGTCGTGCGACCTACATAGGCTCCGTATACATGGTCGTGGCAGTCGCGACGCTGGTCGGGACTCCGACGGGTGGTGCGCTGCTCAAGGAGGTCGACCAGAAACACTTCAACGGTCTGATTATCTTCTCGGGCGTGCTCACGCTCGCGGGCACGATCATCTTGGCCGGTGCGGGCTTCGTGGGTTCGAAACGCTTACGACGCCTCTTCACACGCCGGGCATCTTCAGAAACGGAGAAAAGTATTTCAGAGCCGACGCAGCCGGAGCAAGGTGTATGATTCATGAAGCGCTCAGTATATCCTAGACCCCTTAGACGCACTTAGGCGCGGTATTGAACTTGTCAAAGCATCTTCCGTTTTGCGTTGGTCGTACGTCCAACTACAGGGATCAAGCTGGTCAAATTATCGACACTGGACAGTGCCAAGAGGGTGAGCGAGCGCCTAGTTGTGACATATTCCGCTGACACCTCCACTAGCATCGGCTAAGATAACACTGTTGCATGAGTCACTTCGTGCATCGGTCCGCTCGAACCTTTAGATAAAACTCGGGCCTACAGTGGATACTTAGTCGCGAACACCTGAACAGCGGTCCCTCTCTCCCCGCACTTCCGGTAAGATTATGTCTGATCGTGACCAGGAAAAGGTCAAGGTTGCCGAACCGGAGAAGGTACCGGAGAAGGTCGCAACCTCTCTAGTAGCTACAGTTCAAGCAGACGTGGAAGCAGAGCCCGTTTCGGCACAAGTAGATGAAGAAGTCCAACAAGAGTTGGAGACGGTTCCAGATGGAGGGCGAGAAGCATGGTTGGTTGTTCTGGGTTCATCGCTCGCTCTGTTTGTATCCGCTGGCATGGTCAACGCATACGTGAGTACCATCGTGGTAATTTGAGCTCAGTCTCCCATCTGACGATGGATCACAGGGTGCCTTCCAGACTTACTATGAGTCGACCTTATTGCTGTCATCGTCGTCGTCGTCAATATCCTTGATAGGATCCCTACAAGTTTTCTTCCTGTTCTTCTTCGGAACGCTCACCGGTAGGATGTTCGATGCCTATGGCACATCAGTGAGTAACCAATCGTCTACAAGTAAGCAGTGGCGCTGACGTGTCGATTTTTCAGGTCATGTTGCCCGTTGGGTCCGTCATCTCGGTGTTCTCACTGATGATGGTTTCGTTAGCGCAAAAGGACCAGGCATACCAGATCTTCCTGTCTCACGGGGTCCTCTTTGGAATCGGTATCTCGTTGTTGTGAGTGACTTCCGACTGCTCGTTGACAAACATCTACTGACGCTCCACATTAGATATAGCCCGTCCGTAGCCGTCCTGGGACATTGGTTTAAGCGCAGACGCGCCTTGGCCATCGGACTCGCCACGGGAGGCAGCGCGAGCGGTGGTGTGATCATGCCCATCATCCTTGGGCAGTTGATACCCAGAGTAGGTTTCGCATGGGCCGTCCGGATCGTCGCCTTCGTCGTCATGGGTTGCCTCATCGTCTCGTGTCTCACCATCCGGACACGGCTTTCCCTCTCGAGACACATGACGTGGAGAACTGCGATTGACTTTGGCGGATTCAAGGACCCGAGGTATACGCTTGCGACGATCGCAGCGTTCTTGTACGTGTCATGCGACAACTACCTTCATCAGCTCCCGAATTTTGACGCCTCGATCTACAGACTATTCTATGCCTTCTTCATCCCGTACTTCTATATCCAGATCTACGCGACGTTCCAAGGTGTACAATCGGGGATTGCTGACTACCTGGTTGCAATCTTGAACGCCATGAACATCCCCGCGAGGATAATTCCAGCTATCTTCGCAGACAGATACGGAACGTGAGTGCAGCAGTTCATACACACGATGATATACAGTACTAAATTCTGATCATGTGAACAGTCTGACCGTATTTGTACCGGTGGCTGCTGTCTGCAGTGTCCTACTGCTCGGTCTGTGGCTCCCCTCACGCAACTCGGCATCGATCATCGCATTCGCGGCCCTGTACGGTCTTTTCTCCGGGGGTTTCAGCTCTCTGCTCCCGACCTATATCGCCAGCATCTCACCGAGAGAGAGCTTAGGAGCTCGCATAGGTGCGCCTCAGTCATTGATCTCGCGCTTTACTCTCCTGCTCTGACGTTGATGCTCTGAAGGGTCAGTATACATGGTTGTAGCTGTTGCTACCCTCGTCGGCACTCCTACTGGTGGGGCACTCCTCAAGGACGTGGATCAGAAGCACTTCAACGCGCTTATCATATTCGCCGGCGCATTGACAGTGGCAGGCACCGTCGTCTTGGCTATCGCTGGTGTCGTGGAATCGGTGAAGCTACGTCGCCTATTCACAAGGCAAGTATCATCATCACAAAATCGGGCACAAGAACAGGACACGGCGGACGAAGGATAGAGGTCCGGTACGTGCATATGACGGCATAAGATGGGGAGGAACGGCTTGGCCAAGGTTTGTCACGGTGGTAAACGGTTTCCTCTCCTAATAGTACCGAACCCGGTCGGTATCTGCGTAAGCATTCGATCCTTGTATATGTTGCATACCCAACGTGCCGATTAGACTGAATTCTAGTCGAAGACACCCTCAGGGCCTCAGCCCACGCGGTGGACTCGCAGGCGCATGGATGTCCGACTCTATGTCAGAAGTGAACAAGTTTCAATAGCCGAGCCGCAGCACTCTTTGTATGCTCTCACACCCGACGCTGGGGGAAATCAGTCGCAAATTTGGAAGCATGCTGGGGCCGGGTAGTCGGGATTTTTCTGATTTTTCCGCGATAAAGGCTCTACGGAAGCGTCCTACAGGAGCAGTCAGAAGAGTGAGTCCAAGCGTTCCGTGGACCCTGAGTGCAGGTGCTGACGCCTCTATTCTTGGACTCTATAGTTCTTCTCGACTAGAATCCTCAGAGACCGAATCGCTTGCAATGCAGACTCGGATCTGCTCATTCTTGGAATGGATACTGTGGCCCGCGCCCCTTAGCCGCACAGAATTCGGCGGCAACGTTGGCGTGATGCAGGGTGATACATCGAATCTGGACTGAAGGGGTATTGTCACCTGGTCTCTCATATTATGGAAGGTTCTGTCTCTTCGTACGGGAGTTCGGGCACCATCCCCAAGCTGGCCGCTGTCATCTGTTGCTCGCATATAGGATCATGCGCCTTCTGGCCGAACAATCGCGTCACTATCCCAAATGGCGTGGTCTAACACGGCTTGCGGAAGATCCTCAACTCTTCCTAGAATCCGTGACTGGATTTCAGTGCCTCTCTGTGACCGATGAAATACGCTAATTGTCCGCACAGGCTGCAACTTTACTAGACGCACATCATCTGCATCAGCGAGCAAGAGAGCGCAGATGATGATAGATGCCAAGGCCACTGAGAAGTCATGCCGTGGAGGAAGAACGCTCACATCAAGAGATTGAAGACTTCATTCAGGCTTGCTCTGGAGCCATTCCGACAGGTGTTGTTGTGCCTAGTTCCAGCTCTGTATATATCTGTGCCATTGGACTCTGAGCTGTCGGATTGGGGTCTTCCTTGGAAGTTGAGCCGTCCCTTAGTGTAATTCAAGCGTAAGGTATGATAGTGGTTAGAGACGGAGTTGCTCACGCTGGTAGGCTTGCTGCCTAGACTATCGGTCCCGGGAAATGCCGGCTCACGTAGCGCCGACTGAAAATATGGACTTCAGCTTCATGACCTCGCAAGACACACTGAGCGGACGATATTCAGCCGTGCATATCTCTGTTCATGGTCTCAATGGCCTTCCGGATCGAATGTGACAGTGGGGATGCTCCTTCATCTTAGACGTGGTCGGACATCCGACCGAGCGAACAGTCAAGCAGCTATATCGCGAAGGTTGTTATCCAGTTAGTTCTCGTCTCCATGTGCTGGTGTACTGTGCTGATGACAAGTCACAGAAGTCTCGTCGATAGGACTACCTCGGCTGGGTGCCGGACGGATGGCTACCTCAGGCTGAGTGACATGCCCGCGACATGAATACGGCATGTCAAACTGCATCCGACTTCCCTCCACAGCCGAGCCGTTGTGGATTTTGATGCGTGTTGTCGATACTCTTTCGATCGCGCACACGTTCTGAGGTAAGTGTATCGTTACAGTGGAGAGGTGTGATGCTCCTCAGAGCCCCACATTTGTGCCATGCACTTGCGGCGACTGAGGAAGGACGGGATCTGATCGATTGTCCCCTACTACGTGCTTTTCATCACCGGTATCACTGAGGGATGTTGGTCCGCGACCGCGCACCAGAACAGATGACGTGAGTCCTCATGTTCTGGTCTACTTCGCCTGAACACATTCACGGCGCTCCCCAAGCCCGTCTCTGACGCCGGGAACCCCCCGATATGCGCCCATAGTCCTGTCATTTGCTGGCTCGGGCACTGAATACGAATAAAGCTGAGACCTGCCAAGACCTGAGGATTGCGCCGCTCCCCGGGGCCCGGATGCAAGTAGATTCGGTGCCAATCGTGAGTACTTACCCCAGAGTGCCGCAATCGTGTTCGCAGCGATGGTCCGAAGGCTTCGTCACAGGATACTCAGGGCGTGAAGAGTCGTCCTGATGGCGCCGGTTTTTTCGATAAAATTTCCTAGTACTTGCTATCACTGCACCCTCCTACGTGGGTGCAAACTCCAAACCCTGTCTGAGGGTAAGTAAGCAAACACCCGCTCCTGCATGTGTACCGTGTACCACTCACGTACTCTCCACCCCACTGCGGTCAGATTTCCCCCTTCTCCCGTGAAAATGTCTTTTTTCCGACGCAGCGGTAATACTCCCGCAATTCCATCTGGCGTTGTTCGGAATTATAAGTCATGGGAGGGCTCAGAAGGAAGTGCGTGATTGCCTCAGGAGAAATCCCATAACACATGGGACCTCGACTGGCCACGCAGAGCCTGATCGTAGCTTATCGGGCATCGGGACGGATGATCCCTCGACCTTCCTCAGCACATGTCAGATGCGCTCTTGCAGTTGTGAGTGCGACCCTATGCCTCGCGTGTATGTCGTACTGATTTATGACACTTGTTACGGAAGCGCACACGAGCATTAGAAGGATTTCTCTCCGGTATCCACACTCCAGCCTGCCTTGATCAGAACACGGGCAAGCTCTCCACACTCTCACCGCGGCCGCCCGCGCACCCTATACGAAGGCGGGCGCCAACGCCAGAATCCTGAACAAGCTCCGCGCGCACTACCGACGCATCTCCAGCCAAGAAGCCAAGCAATAGCGTTCAGGGAGCCCAGGCTGCACCCGTCCAACACGTTAACATCACGTCACGGACGGCTTCTGTCATACAACAGGCTCGGACCAGAAGGCACGGTCTCAAGGTCGTGCTCGGGAGTCGACCTCCCCAGCCCGACCCGGCTGCCCCAGCGCGTGTCTGCTTCTCACTTCCCAGGCACTTCGTGGTCTTCTACGACCCCACTTCCTCCTTGTGGCGTTACGTGCGGGGTACGCCAGGCGTCTGGCTCGCTGCTACCGCGCAGCCCAGACCTGCGCTGTCAATGCCAGCACCCCGCCCCCTCCTCGCCGCCCAGAATTCTGATTGCACTCCAGAGTTCGAACTTCGACTGCGCCGGCCACGATGCTACGTGCCGCGGGGAACGGGATTTCCATATGCAGACTGGGGTGATGGATGACGGATGGAAGCAGCGAGGCTAGAGGAGACATGACGATCGGATGCGGGGTGAGCGAAGGTGGGCGAGTGCTTCCGGACGAGCATTCAGAGAAGATGAGTCTGCGAAGATTTTATGAAGACGGTGGCAGACGCCTCACGGCATGCCGTGGGTACAGCCCACTCCGACGGGGCAGGCGTCCGCGCGCGTTGCCGGAGCCAAGCGTGAGGCCGCGAGGCACGCGGAAGTAGAGGAGGATCGTCATAGGCTATAGCATGCGTGCTTTAATTATGCAGGGCCAGGAGTGCGGACATCAGGAGACGAATAGTCTATTTGAGACAACAAGGGCGGAGCGGGCGTTGATTCAAGTACAGCGGCCGCGGCGCCAGGGCGCACACGCGGGGCATAAGTCATGTCTACATAGCAGCACGGTGAGCGGCGAGTTTTCTTCCTTTCTTCCACTTCTAGGCGGCGCGCAATCACTTCTCCGATGACGCCGGGACAGCGTCTGCGTCCTCGCGATACTGAGGGGCTGGCCTGAGGATTGCTTGTCCCTTTCTGTTTCGGTAGAAGAGAACATTCCCTGAATGCAGCTGCGCTCAGTTTCACTGCGCACACAGGCAGTGGGTGAGAGACCCTCACCTGTATCCTCTACGAATTGGCACTCGTTGTAGTTGTTCCAGAGAGCCTGGAACACGGGTTTCTCCGAGTAGTGATAGTGTTCGCCAATGAACATCTTGAGATACTGGGTCGCTTCGGCGCCATGGTCTGCAGTTGCCAAGAGCAGTTAGTCTCACAGTACACCCTGCATCTGTCGGCGAAAGAGCGTCTCGCAAGGGAGGGCGCGCAAGGAACGGGCTCACTGACAGAATGGCATCTTTGGGAAAAAGTGGTGGATGACGTGGTAGTGTGCAACGTCGTGCAGGAAGAAACGACCCATCCAGCCCAGGAAATTGCGGTCCACGGTCGCGGCCGCCCCTCGCTGGAAGTTCCACACCGGCTGGCGGTAGTGCGGCAGCTCGGGGTCCGTGTGGTGGAGATACGTGATCATGATGAACCTGTCCGTCGGCGGAGCGGTGAGGGGACGATCCATGAGATAGAAGGACGGTCGCATCGTGTTCAGTACAAGCGGCGGAGCAGGCGCATGCGGTACCAGACGGAGCGGAGCGAATGAGCGGACGGCGTACGACGCAGCGGAGTAAACGGGGTACTCACCAATGGGTAACGCACAACCATGGAATGCCGTAAAACTTCACCACGGACGCTGCGCCCCACATATTGCAGGCGAACCGAACGGACGCAATCATGAATAGGATGCCAAGGTTGGACATGATGACGAGATGGCGCTGTTCTCTGGTGAACAAGATCGAGTTGGCTGAGGTACGTCGGCGAATTAGCGGAAACAGTTCCAGGCCACTGAAGACGAGTCGCTTACGGTCGAAGTGATTCGTCCATTTGGGGTAGTCTTTCTGACCGGAGACATTCCACACTGACGAGAAAATGAGGGTTTTGGAATGTTGAAATAACGCGGAATATTGGCTTACGTAGATACGCGGGGAATGCCAGAAGCTGTTGACGGACAAGCATGAACAGGGTGTATATCGGGGTGTCTCCGAGGTACTCGTCGTAGTCAATCTTGTGTCCGTTTTCTGGGGGAATACCGAGGTCGCTCCGGGTCTTAGGCACGTAAACCTCATCACGTTCCATGGAGGCATGATTACAATGGTGACGGTGATGTGAAATTCTCCAGCTGAAGTATGGGGTCCAAAGCAAGGTATGGACGACCTGCGATATCACGGTGACGTTAGCCGCCAGCGCAGATTGTCCCGAAAGAGAAAGGGTAGGACTTACGAAGCCTATCACATCGCAAACCCACTGACGGTCGGAGAAAGCGCCATGGCCGCACTGCACACCAGAGTTCAGAATCGAACTATAAGTTGGCAAGAATCCTACCTCATGTCCTATAACCCATATGCCCGTGAAGATGAGGCCCTGGAACCACCAGCTGCAGCGAGCTCGTCAGCATCAGGCTGTGTTGTGGCGCACTGTACGCACTACACCAGCCAGCACGCCCATTGGGCAATGGAGGCGCCAAGTGGGGACAAGAGGCGGATAGCACCCGGACTTTTGAAGCTGGGGTCTATATAGAGTGCGATCTTCCAGCACACAGCGGCCATAAGGAGATCGAACGCAAGCCATGCCAAGCCTCTCTTGGTGTCGCGGACGAAGAGGTGCGGCGGTATGGCGGCGCGGATCTCTTGCAGCTTCCTATACAACGCTCGGCGTCAGCAGACTTCGATTGTGTAGACAAAAGTTCCTACCATGGCATGGGGGAGAATTCGGGGAGATCGTCCTCGGAGTAGGTTGTTGACGTGTTCCCTGTATCCCTTAGGGGGGGAATTGAGTTGCCAGTGGGGCTGGTGTGCAGCATATTGCAGGAGGACGGCCGGATAGAGCAGCGCGGGGTGACTGGGTGAATGGGGTGGTGCGCGGTGCAGCTGGCAAATTTATCTATCTTGGAAAAGGCGAGATCTCCGGCCCCGCACATTCCCAACTGTCGGGCGATGAAAGGTGCTCAAACAGTGAGATGATTTGCACGTGTGCGGCTGGGAGATACGACGACTTGGCGGCAGACGCGCTCAGGCAGCGGAGCAGCGCGGTGTGACGAGAGAGCCGAGGGGTGTGCAATATTGCATTCATCCGGACATGGCGACGAGGGACAAGGTAGGCGTGAGCCGACCAAGCGTGGAAACGGACGTGCGTTACGAGATTTGTCGCAGAGCTCGTCCAATCTGTCATGTCACACAGTTTGGGAAAGTTCTCAGTGACACATGGGCCCTGACTCGCCTGCCCTTCTCATGAGATGCCAGCGCCTTGGGGGAAGATGTCCAGATCCCAACACTGCCAGCTTCTGTCCGCGACCGCACACGCAGTCATATTCGGGCACGTGGCGAACTAGTTCACTCACAGCTCATGGCACGTCGCAGCCTGACTGCGCCGATAGCAGATCGCACGGGTCCACACGGCTCTGCGGGACAGCGAGGGACAGCGAGGGACAGCAAGAGACAGCCGACGAAGCCTGCGAGTGTGGTTCTGGCCGCCAGCGGTGAGTAAGTATGTGGGCGTACGGAGCAAGCTGCACGAGCGCCAGCACCGCACAACAGCCTGTCGGCATGACCCATTTAGGTAAGATTGTTCATGGCGGAACTGGCTTTCATGACCTCCTCGTGTTCGCCGCGAGTCCAGGCTATGCCCCCCCAAACCGAGCAAGGTCGTTGAAGAACTGAAGCAGAAGACGATTTGCACATTCCCCTTCCTTCCACTCTGGCCCGGTGACGCCCGCCAGGCGCTCCGTGCGTCCCTGTTTCTTTGCGTGGAACGGAGTTCATGACCCTCGTGGATGGTATAGCAAGCAATAGAAGCCCAATACAGCTCTCGCCACAGCCCCGTTAAGTTCGGTATTGTGGCGGCCATAGCGTCACGGTACGCACAGGCAGCGACGCTCATGAGCTCAACGACCCCAGCCGTATGAACGAGCAACCCACAACTTCGCCGAGCCGAAAACTCTTCGTCTATAACACCCGCCAAGACGCCGACATTCCTACGGCGCAGCCCGCCCCGCCTACCATCCCGTGAACAATTTCGATGTTTCCGTCCCGCTCGCGACCAGCTCGGATTGCTCCCGGGACAAGACTCTGAACCCGACGTCATCGCGCCCGGCCTGCCGTGCGTGATCGGCTCCGAGCAGCACGAGGCCCGGCTTGCGCCTCTGCTCCTGGCCGTACTGTGCAGTGTGTGCATCCCTGTCAGCCTGGCACTGGTACTAGTGGCAGCTTCCCAGTGATGCGTAGCGCCTGCTTACCTCTAAGAGAGCGGCCAGGAACTGCACGACCGGCTTCGCGTACCACCGGCCTATCCGACCGTCGCCCGTGCGTTCATACCAGCCCAGATGGCCGCCTCCTTGCGTGACAGCAAGAATCAGATACGGGCTCCGTGCGACCTGGTTAATGCAAGGTGACGTCAGGGCGCGATGATAAAGAACACATGTGGGAAGGCATCTGGCAGAGGGTGTGCGCGGATAGATGCTTACCTGGCTTGTAGGGAGGCTGCGTGGCCCAGTTATTGGATCGTCGATGCTGTTGATCGCCAGACAGGGCACCTTGATGCCCGGGATGACCTTGTACGAGCTAATTTTCGCGTAGTAGTCCCATGCGCTCTCGAACCCAAACAGCGGCGCCTGGATCGTCTCGTCGTATTGTCGCAGCGTGACACGGGGGCGGTTGAAGAAGTTCTCGAGCGTCGCGCGGGAGACGGGCAGCTCGGGAGCCTCGAGAAAGACGCGCCGGTGGAGATGCAGCAGTGTGCGCAGAGCGCCCCCAAGGACCCACCGATAGATGAATCGGCCGGTGAATGTACTGGGCAGGAAGTGGGCCCCGCGGACGAAGTGCCAAGGGTTTGCGAGGGTCACGAACCCTTGCAGGGGGCAGTCCTCGCCCTCTTCTCCCGCGTATTTTGTGAGAATGTTGGCACCGAGCGAAAACCCTGAAGACAAAGCGACCATGAGAAGTTACGGAGCCGACGCAGAAGCTGATACAGTGGGCGCACGCACCAATGCCATAGATCTTGCACTCTGGGAAGGCGTGACATATCCACAAGATAACATTCCCGACGTCGTCTGACGACCCTGCCTGTGGTCGAGCGCGGGAAGATAAGTACTCGGCTTTGGACCGCCCGCAAGAGAAGAGAGGAAGCGATGGAAAAGTGACGGCAACATACATGATAAAGCCGCGGGGTTACGACCGGGGAGCCGTTGCATCCACGAAAGTTGAGTACGACTGCACGGAAGCCGAGGCCGCCTGCTGATTTGTCTGGCGTCACCCTCGAGAGGACCGCCCGGACGTAAGACTCGTGAGAGCCGCCAGTGAGCCCGTGCGCCACGAAGAGCACATTTTCCCCTTGAGAGACCGGGTGACTGCTCAGGGGCGGCGTGATATCGACCGCGACGATGCCTGTGAGGTTCCGAATTTGATTAGCTGATGCTTGCTGGCGACGACTAGAACATCCGGCATTTAAAGAAACAAGCACTGCACCTTTATCTGGCAACTCGAGCAGCTTGCTGCACGGGAGTAGGATGTGACATGAGCTATCCGATGCAGGGTTGCGCAGTGTGTAGGAGGAGCACCCACCGCTCGTACACGATAGGGTCGACTTTGCTGAAATCCGCGATAGACGAATACATGGTGTGGGCATCCCCGCTGCGCAACCGACATCAGCACACGGTGAGGCTCATTGAACGAAGCAGCACTTACTTGGGCAGATACCAGGGGCTATTGAACGTGGAGCTAGGCCAGAGCGCCGGGACCTTGTCGACGACGAGTTCTGCGAGGGTCTTCGCAGGACCACCGCCTTCCCTCCGCAGGGTGGCCGAGTCCGGGGACATGTAAAGCGTGACGAATGGCTGGCGTGTCCCTCTCAGGTA